ATCTTGAATCCAGTGCCGGATCCCATGTGTCATTTGGTTGTTGGCATCTGCTTGGTGTCCAACCTAGGACGCTTTCCTGATCTTTTCTCCTTTTCAACCTCAGTGACTTTTTGGAAGATCGCTGGCCAGTTTTGCGGTGGAGTGCCCCCTCTGTTTGGACTTGTCTAGTGTTTTCTAGTAGTTAAAGTGAAGTAGTGCATTTTGGGGAAAAGTAGCAAGGAATGCCTTGCCCTTCTCTTGCACCATTTCAGCAGATAGACGAAGTCAAGGTCATTACTGGAGAGGTTAACTTGGATCTCCTGGCTGAGGTGGTAACTGCCACATTTTCCACTGCACAACTGCTTTGCATAACACTTTTAAAGAGTCTTGTGCTGTTGGATGTATTACCACATGTGCCTTTTGTTGCTGAATTGTCTTCATTGTATGGATAAACAGAAGTCGCATCTCGTTGATACGTTGATGCACGTTTGGTCGGCGTCTGGTTCTTAGCCTGGCCTTGCTTGGTGTCCTGCTGAACATACACTGTGTCACTGTGCACCAACATCAGGCACAGCCACCCTGGCACAACCACGGACCAGGACACCAGAAGACCACTCAGTAATCATGTCCAGCCCCGGAGACAAGGACGTTGTCTGAGCCAGCAAAGCAGCCGACAGCCTCCGTCCTTGTAGCCTCGCTTCCCCCGCCTTTCAGAGCAGATTCATCACGATATCCATAGTGTCCCGTTTCCTAGCAGCAGCCACCTGGCAGTTAAAAAGCCCCCTCCCAAGCAGCCGTCTCCCAGTGACCTAGCGAAGCCCAGATCAGTGACCGCTTTCCAACGGGCCGCAGCCCCCCGTGGTGTGTGCCTGCCGCAGGCTCAGCGGCAGCTGTGTTCCTGGCCTTCAGCTAGAGGCACTGGCCAGCCAGACAGCGCGTGGACATGAGTGCAGAAGACGCTTGTGCCTTTGTCGCCACAGGTCCTGTTGGCCACCCCACACTCAAGGCTTTTTACTCATTTCTTGTCAATTATATTGTTAATGCAAATACAGATTGCATTTTTATGCAGTTATATTTTCAATGCAAACGCAAATATTCCCTTCCCTATTTGCATTCTACTTTTCCCCTCAACATGATTCTGGTGATCCCTATCAGATTAGACAGACATTTTTCATTCTGTTTTTTTTCTGATTGTGGAAAAATGCATGTGACATAAAATTTCCCATCTTAACCATTTTAAAGATACAATTCAGGGGTCTTAAGTATATTTACGTTCATCATCTACAGAACTCTTTTCATTTATGAATTAGAAATTCTGTTCACTGTTTTGAAGGATTTTTACATATAGTAATGAGCCCCTTCTCTTTTTAAAAATATTTATTTATTTGAAAAGCAGAGTCACAGACATGGGAGAAATGGGGGAGGGGTGGAATTAGGAGAGGGGTGATCTTCCATCCGCTGGTTCACAGTCCTCAGGTGGCCAGACAAAAGCCAGGAGCTTGGAATGCCAGGCTCCTTCCCAGGGGCTGGGCCGGAAGTGGAGTAGAGCCGGAACTAGAACCAGTGCTCAAATGGGATGCCAGCTGTCGCAGGTGGTAGCTCAACCCACTGAGCCACAGTGCCAGCTCCAAAATTAACCCTTTCTTAGTGTGGCTTTCCATGAATTTTGATAGACATAGTCATGTAAATACAACCATAATAAAAAATAGGACAGTTCTTTCACCCTTTGCTGTCCTCATGCCCTTTGCACTAGCCTCTCCCTGCTGTGACAGCCACTGATGGGTGCTCTGCCCTCACAGGTCTGTTCATTCTAGAACATCGTACAGAAAGAACCTTACATTCTTGCTGGTAGCTGCCATCGTTTAGTGAATTCATTCCCTGCAGATGGTCTTTAGCTGTTAACTGCAGTGGACTAATTCGCTATCTGTAGCTAGATCATTTTGCATGTGTGTAAATCTACCCGTGGTCTATATTTCCAGTCTTGGGGCCACTGGGTCAAAGGGAAAATGTGCTTGCAGCGTTGATAGGTTATCCTCCTGAGGGCTTGTGTGGTTTCAGGAAGGGTGCTATTTCTCTCTCCTTCCTGTCTCCACAGACCCTTAATCATCAGCTCTTCCAGCCATTTGACCCCCACAGGGGTGGGGAACATCCGGCTCACGGGCTGTAGAAGACCTGTGAAACCATTGGTCTGCAGCGGGCAGGACTCAAAATTCAGTAATTCTGCAGCAGGCTAGTTTTGTTTCATTTCGCTTTAAGACAGCAGAAGAGATGATTTATTGCACACTTGTTAAACTCAGCCAGAACTGAGAATAGAACCAGTCTAGAATGTCATAGGCCCGGGGCCTTTGGCCACCACTGGCTGGGTACACCTGCCAGCAGTGTACTTGGACGCCCGCCTCACCCTTGTTCTTCTGTGTTTCAGCCTGCGCATGCGCTTCTTCCTCCACTGGCCTCTCCTGGGGTGGAGGTTTCCCAGAAGTTGGCACTAAAGCGGAGAGAGCAGCAGGATGGTTTCTAAGTGGATGATTTTGTGTGGCCCGCAAATGATGTCATAAATATCCAGTGGCCCTTGGGTCCCCAGCCTGCTCCAGGTGGCGGGTACCCTTGTGATTCCTTGACCCAAATGTTGTCCCTTTCCGTGCTGGTTCCTCAGGTGTGGAGGGTGACTACGTGTGCCTTGAGGCTCACGCGTTTCAGGGTGGCGTCCTGATCCTGCACATCTGACCTGCCTGGCTGGGCTCTCAGAAGCTGCACTGTGACCAAAAGTTGAGAGTTTTAAAAAAAGTCTTGTACAAGGGAACTTTTTAAAAGTTCATGGGACAATGCAGTTAAAAGGTAAGTTTAGTTTGGTGCAAAAACTTTGGAAATCTATGCATAGTTTTTTTATAATACACATTTTCCATGAACTTTTTGAAGTCTCCATGTGTGCATCTATTTCACTTTTTTTTTGCATCAAAATAAACATATCTTTTGAGTCCATTTTCCACAAACCTTTTGAAGTGCATATATACCCTTTTTAAAAAATTATTAATTTGAAAGGCAGAATGATAGAAATACAGAGGAAGAGAGAGAGAGAGAGATCTTCCATTCACGGGTTCACTCCCCAAATGGCTGCAACAGCCAGATTTAGGCCAGGCCAACGCCAGGAGCCTGGAGCTGCATCTGGGTCTCCCATGTGGGCGGCAGAGGCCCATCTTCCACTGCTTTCCCAGGAGCATTAGCAGGGAGCTGGATGGGGAGCAGAACCACCATCACCGATACCGGATGCCGGCATCACAGGTGGTGGCTTAACGCCCTGTGCCAGAACACTGGTCCTCATACTTTTTTTTTTTTTTTAAGACTTATTTATTTATTTGAAAGAGTTACACAGAATGAGGAGAGGCAGAGAGAGAAAGAGGTCTTCCATCGGATGGTTCACTCCCCAACTGGCCTCAATGGCTGGAGCTGCGCCAATCCGAAGCCAGAATCCAGGAGCTTTCTCCGGGTCTCCCACACAGGTGTAGGGGCCCAAGGACTTGAGCCATCGTCTACTGCTCTCCCAGGCCACAGCAGAGAGCTGGATAGGAAGTGGAGCAGCTGGGTCTCGAACCAGCGCCTGTATAGGATGCCGGTGCTTCAGGCCAGGGCATTAACCTGCTGTGCTGTCCAATATATATATCTACTTTTAATATTTTTATTGATTTATAGAATTACAGACAGGGAGAGACAGAGAGAAAGGTCTCCCATCCACTGGTTCACTCCCCAAATGGCCCCAACGGCCAAACCTGAGCCGATCTGAAGCCAGGAGCCAGGAGCTTCTTCCAGGTCTCCCACATGGGTTCAGGGGCCCAAGGACTTGGGCCATCTTCCACTGCTTTCCCAGGCCATAGCTAGAGCTGGATTGGAAGAGGAACAGCCAGAACTAGAACTGGTGCCCATTTGGGATGTCAGCACTGTAGGTGGCGGCTTTACCCACTATACCACAGCGCCAGTCCCCCTCATACATTTTTAAAAGCGTAAGCTTTTCAGGTTAATGCCCCAAACCTTGAGGACAGTGGTTCTCAAATTTGGACAGGTATCAGGGTCGCTTGGAAATAGATCCTGAAATCTGTCCACTTCTGGTTCTGCGCACCTGAGGTGGAGCCCAAGACTGTGCTTCAAGTGAGGTCTCGGGGGGTGGGGGGTGGGGCGTTGCTGCCGTGGTTTGGCGCCACACTTTGAGAACCACAGCTCCAGGTGCTTCTGCACATCCTAGGAGTTCTTTTTTATATCATTTATTTTTTTTGAGAGAGAGAAAATGAAGTCTCCCATCAGCTGGTTCCCTCTCCAGTGCCTACAACAGCCAGCACTGGTGTAGGCTGCAGGCAGGAGCCAGGACCTCAGCTTGTGTCTCCCAAGGAGGTGGCAGGGGCCCGGCTACGTCAGCCATCACTTAACTGCCTCCCAGAGTGCTAGATGTGGAGGTGGAGCCGGGACTCGAACCCAGACACTCTGATGTGGGGAGGGGAGTTCCAAGTGGCATCTTAACCATTGCGCCAAATGCAACCCACTCCCGGCAGTTCTTGAGAGCATGGGTCGAAAGCAGCCAGTTTAGAGGGTGGACGTTTCTTCGGGGCATCCTCGTGTGTGCAGGCAGCCCCGACTTAGCATGGCTCGACTTCAGGAAGTTTTCAGCTTCGCAGTGGTGCTGGTTTCCACTGTCAGCACTGTGTTTAACGCATCACATGCAGCGTTCAAAACCTTGTTATAAAGTTGGCTTTGCCTTAGATGATTTTGCCAAACCTTAGGCTAATGTAAGAGTGCATTTCAGATAGGCGAGGCTAATAGGTGATGTTTGGTAGATTAGGTGATTTAAATGCGTTTTTTCTTAAGATATGTTCAGCTTATAATGGGGTTCTCACTGGGACATACCCCCATCGTCTCTTGTCTGTCTACCTAAGAATGCTCTTAGCAAGACACACACATACCCCGTGTACTACACACCCAGACACACGTGTATCTGAATGTTCTGATTGTTTCCATTTGTATGCTGGTTTTTCTAGAACCCATCCTGAGAATTAGCAATACAAAGAAGACCTGATGCCACCGCTCCAGGTTGTCCCCAGCCGGTTAATTTCCCAGTTGTGCTGTAGATTGAAACCTCCAGCCTCCAGAGGAACCAAGATTTGCCCAGTGATGGCTCGGCCAAGTTCAAGTAAGCCATTGCTTCTGAGTGTGCGGCCAGGGCAGTGTGTGTGTTGAATGACACTGGGCCAGTTTGGGGAAAGCCGCCCTTTCCTCTTCTCTTCTGGGCAAACGCCTTCTCAGGCAGGGTTGGAGCTTATTTCTTGGTGTTCAAGTCCGTTTAGGACATTTTCCTGCTCCTCCCTGAATATTTGCATTTAAACTTTTGCATGTGCTTTGTATTTTTCTCCATGTTTATTTACTTGTTTATTTGAGAAGCAGTGAGACAGAGTGCTCCCATCTGCTGGTTCACTCCCACAATGTCCACAACTGCTAGTTCCGGCCCAGGGTTGAAGTTGGGAGCCAAGAATTCAATCTGGGCCTCCCACATGAGTGGCAAGAAGCCAGCCCCTCAGTCATCACCGGCTGCTGCCAGGGCCTGCATCAGCGGGAAGCTGGGACCGAGAGTGGAGCGGGGACTCAAGCCCAGGCGCCGCAGCCTGGGACGGGAGGGTCCTACCTGGGGGCTTAACGACCAGGCCAAACGCCCACAGGGTTTGTGCTCTCAGAGGGGAGAAGAGCTGGTGCTTGTCCTGGGGACAGTGTGTGGCTCAGTTTTATAGTGAACAGCATCCTTTGTGTGTCTGCCTCACAAAGACCTACAAGTTAACAGACCTGGGCCGTCCAGCAGTCGTGAGTATGCAGTCTCACAGATTCTTTTACTGGGCCTGTAAACAGCGCTCCAGTGTGGCAGCAAAAGCCAAGCTACTTCCTGTCCCCTGCACACACATGGGAGACCCTGAAGGAGCTCCTGGCTCCTGGCTTCGGCCTGGCCCAGCCCTAGTTGTTGTGGCCATTTGGTGAGTGAACCAACAGATGGAAGACCTCTCTCTCTCTCTCTCTCTCTCTCTCTCTCACTCTCTCACTCAGTCTCTACCTATCTCTGTAACTCTACCTTTCAAATAAATAAATCTTTTTTAAAAAAAAAAAATGAATGTACATTTTTTTTCTTAATTTTGAGAGGAAAAGTGAGAAAGACAGACAGGAGTCCCCTCCTCTGGTTTGCTCCCCCTATGCCTCTAACGTCCTGGGGTGGGCCTGGCCAAAGCCAAGAGCCGGGAAGTCAGTCCAGGTCTTGCATGATTACTTGAGACATTAGCTGCTGCCTTCCAGAGTTTACATTAACAGGCAGCTGGAGTCAGGAGCTGGAGCTGGGAATTGAACCCAGGCACTTTGATGTGGAGTGGGGCATTCTAATCCCTGTCTTAACCAGTAGGCCAAATGCCTGCCCCAGGAAGGCACCTTTGTACACTTCAACCAGCCAAGGAGGCCAAGCAGAGAAAAGGGTGAGTAGTTTGCGTGAGAGTGCACGGTAGGGCACAAGGCAGAGCTGAGATTCAAGGCATGGCGTGTGCCCAGAGCTCCTGCTTCTGGGAGCAGTGGTGCACTCCCCCATGCAGCCAGGGCTGAAGTCTTCATGTACAGGAGTGGTTTTCCTGTGTGCTTACCTTACAGCGTAACTTCATGCGAGATGACATTTGAGAATACAGACCATGGAAGTAGGATGTGAATGTCCAGGTAGCACACGGAGCTGACACGGGGTTTGCTCTCTGTTCAGGTATGGCAGATTTCCGGAAGTGTTTTGCACAAGCAAAGCACATAGTCATCATTTCGGGGGCCGGTGTCAGCGCCGAAAGCGGAGTCCCGACTTTCCGAGGGGCCGGAGGTTACTGGAGGAAGTGGCAAGCTCAGGTTGGTGACAATTCCAGAATATTGCAGAGTTCTTCTGAACCACGCTGCAGCTGAGTGGGGCAAGGTTTGGAAATGAGCTCTGACCCCTTCGTGTCCTGGTGATTTTGGCATAACGGGCAGTCCCTGTGGTTAATTTCCAAAACGCAGGCAAAGCAGCCACTTTCCTAACTTTTGACTTATGTTCAGATTTCACTGATGCACATAAGAATTTGATTTCTTACAGTAACTGCATTAGAGTAAGAATCAGAAAATCTTGGCTAGCACAATTAAAGATACTGAAGTTTCATTTTACACAATTGTAAAGTTCCTTTGAACTTTTGATGTCAGAACTAAAGTTGAATTGTTAGAGGCGTAGGGCTCAGTGCACGGCATTCCTATGGAAGCCATTGGAATGGAAGATCTGTGGGGCTGTGAGGCTTTTTTGAAGTCCAGCCTTAGTCAGGGCCGGCGCCGCGGCTCACTAGGCTATTCCTCTGCCGGCACACCGGGTTCTAGCCCCAGTCGAGGCGCTGGATTCTGTCCCGGTTGCCCCTCTTCCAGGCCAGCTCTCTGCTGTGGCCAGGGAGTGCAGTGGAGGATGGCCCAAGTGCTTGGGCCCTGCACCCACATGGGAGACCAGAAGAAGCACCTGGCTCCTGGCTTCGGATCAGCGCAATGTGCTGGCCACAGCGCGCCAGCCGCGCCGGCCATTGGAGGGTGAACCAACGGCAAAAAAGAAGACCTTTCTCTCTGTCTCTCTCTCTCTCACTGTCCACTCTGCCTGTCAAAAAAAAAAAAAAAAAAAAAAGTCCAGTCTTGATTGAGACATAACACACACATAGTAAAATTCACCAGTTTTCCAACATACGGTTTAGTGAGTTTTAACAAATGGATGACCTGGAACATGTCTGTCCTTCTAGATTCCAGAGTATTCCATCACGGCCCTCTGCAGTGTGTCCTCTCTCATCCCCCTGGATTGGGCAGTGCCCAGCTTTGGAGGGCCGGGAGTGTCGTCCTGTGCATTGCCCTGTCCCCAGCGTCCAGAACTTCAGCCCAGGGGAGGAGCTCGGTAGACATTTGTTGGCTGAGCGGAGACAGTCATGAGTAATTAGCCCAAGGCGTGACCTCCAGATTGAGCAGGTGATGTCTTGGACGCGCCCCTCCCTTCCTGTGCCAGGTGTCCCAGGCTGGCAGGTGTCTGGGATGTTCGGTCCCCTCCCTGCTGCCGTCCAGGTGAGGCCTGCAAAGCGTCGCCTGGTGATGTGGAGATCTCTCAAAGGTGAAGCAGCGGAGAAAGAAGAAAAGCAGTCCAAAGGGCCCCGAGGAACGGGGATGGGGAGAAGCAGCGGTGGGGGGAGGGGCGATCAGAGGCCAGCAGGGAGAAGCTGGGAGGGCTGCAGGATGCTGTGGTGTCAGAGGTGGCCCACGGCTGTGTGTGAGCCAGGGAGTCAGTAGGACAGGTTTGCCACCACATACACCTTCACGTGCCGCCCGTCAACTGCTCCAGGCCACTTGGGTCCCAGTGACAAGCAGGGCGGGAGGGGAGCACAGGGCTGAGGCAGTCACCCACAGCAGCGACACTGCCATCCCAAAGGAAGGGCCTGACTGAGGTCGCCACCGTGGAGGGGCCATGATGGTCAGGTCACGCCAGCTCCGTGTGGCCACTGGTCCTTCCTTACATTCCCACGGTGAGCTGGGATTGGCTTAGAATGAAAGGCACACATGCACCGTGGGTGTGCAGGGTGATGAGTCTGACGGTGTGTGCACCTGAGGGTCACCACTGGACAGCCTCTTGTTCCCACGCCCTCTGCCTCCAGCCTGGACAAGCGTGGCTGCACTCTTGCAGTGGAGCAGGGGCTGGTGTCTGCTGCAGGGAGACGCGCGCTCTGGTATAGTCTGTATACTTCTGTTACTGCAGTGCATATACCTTTTTTCATACGTGCGTTGTGTATGCAAGGGACTTCCAACCATTATAAAAGCTGACTTTCTCAACTACAGCCATTATACCACAATTGGGCATTTTGTAGTTCATATTTTTCCTGGGTGTATCTCAAAATTAGATTTACTTTGTATATGGTGGGGCTCAGGGAAAAAATGGATTTATATATGCTGGCTTTCAACGAAAAAATACCTACCTGCATCAGACTTCACTTCCTTGCATAACTTACCTGTGTAAGTGGGACAGGTGCATTATTCCTGCCCATCACCGGGGCAATCAAGCCCAGTCTCTCCAGGGTGCTGGGTCAGCCCAACAGCTAGGGGACCCAGGCCCCTGCCTGGCATCCGCCACCCAGTCCTCCTCTCAGGCAGACACGGCCCAGCCTGTGCCCCTATGGCCACCAGCCTCGGCTCAGAAGGGCCTGGGCTGGCCAGCACCATGGCTCACTAGGCTAATCCTCTGCCTGCGGCGCTGGCACCCCGGATTCTAGTCCCAGTTGGGGTGCTGGATTCTGTCCCGGTTGCCCCTCTTCCAGGCCAGCTCTCTGCTGGGGCCCGGGAGTGCAGTGGAGGATGGCCCAAGTGCTTGGGCCCTGCACCCCATGGGAGACCAGGAAGAAGCTCTGGCTCCTGGCTTCAGATGGGCGCAGCACGCCGGCCATAGCGGCCATTTGGGGGGTGAACCAACAGAAGGAAGGCCTTTCTCTCTGTCTCTCTCTGTCTCTCTTTCTCTCTCTTACTCACTGTCTAACTCTGCCTGTCCAAAAAAAAAGAAGGGCCTGGGTGCCGCCCCCTCCCTCCTCAGTCCCTGACCCTGCCCCTCTCCCACCCAGGACCTGGCCACCCCTGAGGCCTTTGCCCGCAACCCCTCCCGGGTGTGGGAGTTCTACCACTACCGGCGGGAGGTGATGCAGAGCAAGGAGCCCAACCCTGGGCACCTGGCCATCGCCGAGTGTGAGGCCCGGCTGCACGGCCAGGGCCGCCGCGTCATGGTCATCACCCAGAACATCGACGAGCTGCACCGCAAGGCTGGCACCAAGAACCTTCTGGAAATCCACGGTGAGGGACCCCCAGCCTCATGGGGGGAGGGGAACAGACTTTAAAACTGCTCTTCCAACACAGTCGCTGGCTCCTGCCCCCTCGCCTCCCTGCCGCACACCTGACTCACCCGCACGGGATGCTGCACTTAGCAGCCGCCTCTGGTGACCTGGGAGACCCGCCCTTGCCCCGGCTTTCCTGCCCCTGCTGCTCAGACCATGGTCTACAGGCCAGCAGTGTGCGTTCAGCCGCTGAAGCAGGACCTCCGTTTGCCCAGAGGAGCACTGTGTGACCCTGTCCTTGGCTTCTGGGGGAGAGTTGTGGGGCTGGGCCAACGGGGCACGGGATCCACAGCAAACGTGAGGCCAGGCCCACAGGCAGCAGTGGCTTCAGCAGGATTGGGGCACAGAAGATCCCAGGGCACCTGTGGTGTGGACCTGCCTGCCCTTCGCCCCAGCACAGGCGTCTCTGGTCAGGTGTGCTTCCGCTCCGCCCTGGAGCTGGAGCGAGCCCAGCAGGTTTGTGGCACCGGTTGAGTTCATCTTGAGTCAGTCTGGTTTCCCACCGCTGCTCTGGGCGACACCCTCCCTCTCCTTGTGCTCTTGGCCTCTTGCATTCACACCCAGGGGTTAGCCTTGCTAAGCCAGAACTTTGCAGGAGCAGAGCACCGGCAAGGCAGCGTGTTCGTGTGGCGTGCGGGCAGCAAGGCGGCCCGACTCAGCCCAGCCTGCAGGTCACCCTGACGGGGAAGCCGGGTTGTGTCCCAGGACGCTCAGTCACCTGTGAACCGAGGCTTTTCTGGCATCTGCTTCTCCGGGGCCGGGGCTGCTCGGGCCATGGCTGCTCTCATGTCTCTGCAGCATCCGATGGGGACCTGGGTCGCTTGGCACATGTGAAACAAGAGATGGTAACCGCTGATCATGGGCAACCTGCTTAAGGACTCAGTAAGATGAGATCCTGTGCGCGTCAGTGGGGTCCCTTTTCTGGTTGCAGATGATAAAAACTCTCTTCTAAGGTAAAAATAAAAGAAACCAGTCATGTCATTCGACTTGAGATGCTATCAATTTTAGCACGCCTCGTGTTTTCAGAAAGCAAATACTCTGCCTCACGCCATGATGCGAGTATACAAGGAGGGTTCTTCAAAAAGGTCTCTGGAAAAAGCAAGTTGGGGAAAAACATGGATTTCTTCTTTTACAGTATACATTTATCTTGCAATCCCACTTTTTCACAAGTTTTTTGAAGTACTTTTCTCTGATTTTGCAGTCCCTTAGCATTGTTGTTTGGTGTATACAGAGAGGGACTGTTAAGACTTACGTCTTTCTTGGGTACACAGAGGAGGACGTGTGAGTGACGTGTGGGCGACGGTGAGTGCTGGGAGTCAGTGAGGTCCGTGTTGGGTCCAGGAGCCAGCTCTGCGCCCCGGGATCTTCCTGGACAACGTGTGTGAGGGAAAGACTACGCATCAAAAGTTTTTCTCCTAATAAGCTTATCCTTTGATTCTGTTTTCCATGAACTTTTTGAAGTACCCTGCTGTTGGCTCACAAAGCAGAGGCTCCCTGGGCTGGAGCTGGTGCCAGCAGCAGGCTTCTTTCCTTTCCCTCTGAGAGAGGCCTCTGCCTGAGCACCAGCCCCTCTTCTCCCTCTGAGCTTGATTGGCCCCCCGGCACCAGGGCAGGCAGCTTCCACCGCTCCAGCTTGCTCTGGTTGAGCCAGCTTCCGGAAAAAAAAATCTGGTGGCCTCGGCTGGTTCACATCCCACGGTTTGGCCCAAACACTCCTGCTAGAGGGCTGAGCTGCTGTGCTCGGGCCCCTCTGGGACAGGTGGCCAAGCTTGGATGTGGGATGTGAGGGACAGTTCCATCGGCTCAGCAGGAGCTGGAGAGATGGCCCCCCGCAGCAGGGGGAGTGGCCAGCACGAGTGGTGCCCCTGCTCTCTGGGCTGTGCTGACTGTGTAATCATTGTGGCTTCTGTTGTCGCTTTAGTGCTCAATACAAGGTTGCTCATTGACAATTATTTCTTAACATTTATTAGTTAATTATTGAGCTGCTTTTATATAAAAGAGTCAAGCTTTATTAAATCAAAGTTAAGATTTTGTAAGCGTATCCCAAAGCACTGCAGCTCTGTACTCACACATTCAGTAAATGACACCCCTAGCTGCGGGCTGAGCTTCGGCCACCCAAGAGGCCAGAGTTCCACCCAGCGTCCCCGCAGGGTTGTTGGAGGATCCATGGGCTGCTTCCCCTCCAGGCTCTCGGGCTCAGCAGTACTGCAGGCCTTTTCCCGGAGGCTCCTTGGAGAGGCCCACGTGCTAAAATGCACCGATGAAGACTAAAACTGCCTTCTACTCTCCACGATGCTAAATCCCGGACTTGCGTGCTGTGTTTTGCAGGCAGCCTGTTTAAGACTCGATGCACCTCTTGTGGAGCCGTGGCCGAGAACCATAAGAGTCCGATTTGCCCAGCTCTCTCAGGAAAAGGGTAATTGCACTGGCTTCTGGAATACGTGGGTGTTCCCCTGTGCTTTAAGTTGCATGTCAAGGTGAGAAAATGGAACATCCGTCCTAGATCACCATGGAGATTTATCAGAAATCAGAGTAGACGCGGTGTTGACTCAGACCCAAAGAAAGCTTCTGCTCAGAGTTTGCAGTGTTAAGTCAAAACCATAGGGTGCCATGCCATAAAGAATAGGATCCAAGCTTTGTATTTAATACACACATCCTCCCCTCCCCATCTCTGTCTCTCGCTCGCTCACTCCCCCTGTTTTTATGTCTGTATGCAGCTCCAAGACCAGAAGACCAGCAATAACACATCAACAGTGAATCAGGAGTGAAGGATTATGGATTGTTTCTATTTCTTCACATGTTTTGGGATATTCTATACTTTTTTAAAGATTCATTTATTTATTTGAAAGGCAGAGTGAGGGAAAGAGGGAGGGAAAGGGTGAGGCGGAAGAGAGAGCTTCCATCCACAAGATCACTCCCCAAATGACAGCAATGGTTGGGGCAGGGCCAGGCAGAAACCAGAAGCCTAGAACTCCATCCAGGTCTCCCCCGTGAGTGGCAGGGTGCAAGTAGTTGGGCCATCGTCCACTGCTTTCTCGGCACGTTAGTAGAGAGCTGGATTGGAAGCAGAGCAGCCAGGACTCCAGCTGATGCCCGCATGGGATGCTGGAGTCATAAGCGGCAGCCTCACCCCTGCTCCACATGCTGGCCCCATTCCTTCCTCCCTTCTTTTCTTCCATTCTTCCTTTTTCAAGAAATAGATTTTTTGAAAAGATTTATTTATTTTCAGTTTTATTTGAAAAGCAGAGAGACAGAGAGAGAGAGAGACAAATAGAGATCTTCCATCTGCTCACTCACTCCCCAAATGTGCCCAACAACCAGGGCTGGAGTATGCCAAAGCCAGGACCCCAGAACTTAATCTGAGTGTCCACGTGGGTGGCAGGGACCCAAGTACTTGAGCCATCACCTCCTGTCTCCCAGGGTGACCATCAGCAGGAAGTGGGATCAGAAACAAAGAAGCCAGGACTCAAACCAGTCACTGCAATATGGGATGCAGGCCTCCCAAGAGGCGACTGAATTGCTGTGCCAAATGCCTGCCCCTGAATTTTCTGATGTTTCTATGATGAACACGCACTATTACTGTAAAGTCAGAACATGGAGAAAATTCTACTGGACCCTTTGAAAACAGTATTATTATAAGTGTTATTACAAAAGATTCGAAGGATGATGAAGCAGGCAAGGCTTATCAAATGCCCCACTTAGCACACCTGCTCGCCACACTCCTCACCACATAAATTCTGTCTCTTACAATGTCGTCACTGATAATTAATTGCCTGAGGCCGGCGCCGCGGCTCAGTAGGCTAATCCTCCGCCTAGCGGCGCCGGCACACCGGGTTCTAGTCCCGGTCGGGGCGCCGGATTCTGTCCCGGTTGCCCCTCTTCCAGGCCAGCCCTCTGCTGTGGCCAGGGAGTGCAGTGGAGGATGGCCCAGGTGCTTGGGCCCTGCACCCCATGGGAGACCAGGAAAAGCACCTGGCTCCTGGCTCCGGCCATCGGATCAGCACGGTGCGCCGGCCGCAGCGCACCAGCCGCGGCGGCCATTGGAGGGTGAACCAACGGCAAAGGAAGACCTTTCTCTCTGTCTCTCTCTCTCTCACTGTCCACTCTGACTCTCAAAAAAAAAAAAAAAAAAAATTGCCTGAGCTCCATCCTTCTCCGCTCACATGCATTAATTTGGGGTTTTATACCACATGCTGCCAGGCAGATGCACAGTCTGATGGGGGCTATGGTGCCTCTTTGTTCTTTGATCATGCCAATGACATTCTTTCTCTTTTCATACCGTTTCCATCAGTGCTCCAGAACCTGAAACTCAGGATGCCAGAATCCCAGTGGAGAAACTTCCCCGGTGGGTAAAAAGCTTGGGTTTGGGATTTGCTGTTCCAGGTTATAAAAAGAGGGACGACTAGGAACCACAGCCTAAACGTTTAATTGGTGAGATGCCTCTTAACCCCAAAGGCTCAAATACGAAAACCAGCCCTGGCTCGTGAGGCCCAGGGTGGAAGGACAAAGAATGAACCAAACCAGAGTGAAGGCGCCTCTTCTGTCAGTCCCTGCTTGCTTGTGCCAGGTTGAGTGGGTCTTAGAGTCCCTGCAGCTGCGTGTGACTGACAGGTACCCAGAGTTCACACAGTGCAGAGGAGGGCTGCCAGCTGCTGCCGCCTCCCCTCCCCCGCCCCGTCCTGGGGCAGAAAGGCAGTGAGAGGCGTCACAAAGGCCCCGTTAAGAGTTTGCTGTGGATTTGAAACAACGACAAGCACCCAGAAAGATGTGTATGTTGGGGTTTTTAAACGGTCGACACACAGTTGATAATTCTATTTGTGGTCTTGGTCGGCAGTGATGGAACAGGATACTTACGAGTTCTGACCATATGGTAGCCAAGTGCGAAGCTAAATGGCCAATACACAGGCATTTGTCACAACTGTGTGTTTATTTTCATCAATCTGAAATACTTCATTAGGACTTTTAATATGAAAAACACAGTGAATTTTACTTTGACTACAACCTGAACACACGCAGAACACACAGAGCTCACAGGGTGTTCACAGAGTGAGCACACCTGTGTCACGGGGTCAGCACTTCCAGGAGGAGAGCCTTCCTCACGTCCACTCCCAGGCCCTGCCCTGCCCACCTCCTAACGCCAGCCTGGAAACACCTAGTCCTGAGTTGCATATAAATAGACTCGAACCGTGTGTCCTTTTGTGTTTGGCGTCTTTTGTCAACACTGTAAGACTGGTGTACAGTGCTACACGTGGCTGTCCATCATGATGGCCATGAGATGGTTCATTTACTGTGCCACACTGTGTCTATGCCACTGTTTAATGGTGAATGCGATTGTGTCCCCTTTCGGGCTGTCACAAGTCATGTTGCCATGGATACGTGTGTCTTCGTGGTGTACCTGCACAAGCGTTTTATTGGACATTTAGGTACCAATATTTCAAAGTTCGCTTGTCCAGTCATAATGGATACTGTCAGTTACTCGAGGAGATTGTACCAATTTCAGCTGTAGCAGCAGTGGACACAATTCTTGAGCTGACCAGCTGTTGATATGTCCATCTTAATGCAGACATTAAAAACAGCGCTCCCAAAGTGTTTCCTAGAGCACTGTGATCCATGCCAGGTTAATAGGCATTACTTAGGGGTGGAAAAAAGAGATATTATGTGTTCAAATAAGTAAGGAAAGGCTAGATTCAGCAGAGCTGAAATGTGTTGGCTTTATGGTGTGACCTCTGGATGCGTTTAATGTGCTAAAGTGCACTGTTGCTTTCTTAACAGGGGTGTTCACATGTTAGTACTTTGCTGGCTGGTTTAACCAAGGACTCTGCATTTTCTTATAAGGGTTCTCAAGCCTACATTCTGGAGTTCCAGCCTGAAGCAGGCAGTTCTGGGGGTTTCCCGAGTGGGAGAGGAATGTGATGGGGACAGTGTTTGGGGAGATGACTTTAGAAAGTGTGTATAAGATGACCGAGAGGTAGGAGAGGGAGAGCGAGCTGACCGTTTTAGTGCTGGGCACTGCTAGGAGCAGGGTAAAGAGGTGAACCTGAGAAAAGACCAAGGTCTCTGATGGCATGAGGACGGTCCAGGCACAGGAGGCAAACCTGAGTCCAGGGCCACCCCCAGGTCTGGGCACCTGGGAGCACACTTGTGCCGAGGAGTGTGATGATGTAACCGGGAAAGCAAAACTCTCTGGCAAGAGAATGTCAAGCGCAGCTAAGACAACATGTCAGCTCAGCTCAGCACACAGAGACCACATCAAAGCTTCAGAGGACGGTTAAAAGTGGGACCTCACCTCCAGGGCGAGCTCAGAGCAGCTGGGGAGGAGAGGTGGGGGGAATGAGAACAACCGGAAGTGCCCACAGGGTACCTGTCTACCTGGGCACACCAGGGGGCCGGCTCGGGCTGGGCTAAGGGTGACGCTTTTTTCAGGTGTGAAGAAGCAGGCTGCGGGGGCCTACTGCGACCTCACGTCGTGTGGTTTGGAGAAAACCTGGATCCTGTGGTCCTGGAGGAGGTTGACAGAGAGCTCGCCCTCTGTGACCTGTGCCTAGTGGTAGGTCACACCCCACCTGCCCTGTGCCGTGGGCGTTCCTGAGCAGCCAAGGAGTGGGGCCCACGTGACCATCCCTCTCCCTCCCTCAGGCATCTCAAAACCTTCATCCCCTCCCTGCAAAATGAAGAGAGCACGTTTTTAAAGTAATAGATGCTCATTATTGAAATTTCACTGAGAAGTATCAAATTATATATAAAGAGGAAACTAGAAGTTCGCCCATAATTCTGTCATCCAGAAATAGTCACTGTTGACATTTGGGTACGTTTTCTTCTAGACCAGGGCTGAGCCTGTGGGCCAGCTCTGGCCTGCACCCTGTTTTGTGAATCAGGTTGCCCTGGAACACAGCCACAGCCACAGCCACTTTCCTGCACACTGTCTATGTGTGGCCCTTCGTACCCTGATTGAGTCCTTGCAATGGAGACTGTGTGGCCTGCAAAGCCTTACATGTGTCCTGTTTGCTCCCTGACAGGAAAAGTTGGCGAATCCCTGGCTGGGCCCTTTCTTGTGCAGAAGCGCATATAATGATTAAAATTCAAAAATGAGTTGAGGCTGTGTGTTGTGTTTGGGAAGCACTTTATTCAAGGAGCAGGTCACTGTGTCCAGGTCTCCTTCATCTTCTAAGGAGAAGATGTTTTATTGTGTGGATATAAGGTGATGTATTTAGCTAATAATTGGACATTTGGGCTGTTTGAAATTTTGGTATTTTAAAAAATTTATTTATTTGAGAGGCAGGGCAGGGGAAGCATGCTCTCCCATCCACTGGTTCATTCCCCAGATACCTGCAGTGTCTGGGGAGGCCAAAGTCAGGATCCAGGGACCCACTTCAGATATCCCTCTCATGGGTAGCAGGAACCCAGTTACACTGGCCCTCACTGCAGCCTGCCAGAGTCTATGTTAGTAGGGAGCTGGAGTCAGGAGCCAGTACCAGGTATCAGGCCTAGACCCACGTCCCGGCTCAGCTCTCACCTTAACGCGCCAGGCCAGACACTTGCCCTGACCAGTTTTAGCATGCTTCAGATCATTTCCTCAGGGCAAGCTTACTGGAAGTGTGAGTGATTGGACACAGGGTGTGATACGCGTTTCAGCGATTTTCAGGACGTCTTTAAAAGCAGAGGTGCTTTCTTGTGGGCGTGTGTGCGTTTCGGCAGCGCTGATTGCACCCCAAGGTGGATTGTGGTCTCAGTGTTCATAATGGACTGTAAGTGAAAAGACCTGGCTTACAAAGTATGTTCTGGGCTTCACGTTCCTGTAAATAATCTTTATAAGCACATGTAAGAGGTCTTCAAAAAATTCACCCTAAGTGTGCATTATGAAAAAACTATGCATAGATTTAAAAAGCTTTGCACTAAATAAACGTGTCTCTTAATTCCATTTTTGTATGAACTTTGTGAAGCTCCCTTGTATGTGTAAGATAAAACTGGGGGTGCGCATCTGGCATAGTGGAGTGCCTGGGTTTGAGACCCAGCTGCACTCCCCATTCCAGCTTCCCCCTAATGCACACCTGAGAGGCAGCAGGTGATGGCTTCAGTAGTTGGATCTCTGCCATCCACATAGGAGACCTGGATTGAGTTCCCAGCTCCTGGCTTCAGCCTGACCCAGGCCTGACCACTGTAGGCACTGAAGAATGAACCAGTGGACAGGAGTGTTTCTCTCTCTTCCTCTAATAAATAAATAGATTTTAAAATATAAGAACTTTCACAAACCGATTTTTGAAAATGCAAACAGCCTATATTTTGAAATTTTAAGAAAGGAATGAACAGGGAAACTCATAGTAGAAATATAAATGATCAAGAAATAATTTTTTAAAAAAATAAGAAATAACCCAACAGAATACACATCCAAACATTGACAGTGGTTATCTAGGGGAGTATGATTAGCCTGTTTATTCCTTGTGTTTCCTAACCGTAAAAACAACACGTTCTTCCCGTATTCTAATTAGTGCCCGGAAGGATACCTCCAGACCTTCTGCAGTCCCTTGGACACTGTCCATTCCATCCCAGCCACAGCGCCCCCTCACACCTGCACCCACACACCTGGCCAAGGCCATGTAAGGTTTGCTGGAAACATGCTTCTCCCCATGTGCGTGGTCATCTGTCCATTTCCACTCTTTCGCTTTGTAGGTGGGAACGTCCTCTGTGGTCTACCCAGCTGCCATGTTTGCCCCCCGAGTGGCTGCCAGGGGGGTGCCAGTGGCCGAATTTAACATGGAGACCACGCCAGCCACAACCAGATTCAGGTACCGGGATAACCCAGGCAGGAGATGGGAGGTAGAGGGCAGGTTTGGACACGGCCATCTCAACATACTTGCCTACTGTTCTCATTTTTTTAAAGACGTGGGGTTTGTGTTTTCTTGTTTGGCGTGCGGTTGCTTTAATGGAGAACAAAACAGTAAGCGTGGACTAAAAGTTGCAGTGTTTCTTTACGTGGTGTTTGCTGTAGGGCTTTTGTGTTAGCACACGCGAAGGCTGCTCAAAGACTCTGTAGTCTTGACTTTTGTTTGTATTTTCAAACTTGAATTAGACGTAGGTGTGCCTGGGAAATGCCCATGCAGAACCTCACCACCACTGGTCTCGATGGGAGGCCTCCTGGGCAGATCCCTCGTGGACTAATCGCCAGGAGCGTATCGGTGACTGCATTGTTAATGCAGATCCTGTTTCCCAAATCTGCATGAAGAGTGTAGCGTGCATTTTTAGCCTCATTCCAGGGCCTGTTTTATGTCCTCACACTCATTTTTCCTCTTTTGCTTTCTTTCCTTACCATCACTTTCTTGCCTTCACTTTTAGCTCAGTTCTGTTAAGTAAGTAGTTAATAAGTGAAACAAAACTTCATTGAAACCTCTTGTCATTACTCTAACCAGTGGTTTTCCGTGTTGGCTGCATATTTATAAACTACTGATGCCTGGGTGGCCCCTGAGATTCTGGAATAATTGGTCTGAGGGTAGTTGGGTGTCGTGACTTTCGGAATCTTCCTAGGTGATGGGAACGTGCAGCCAAGGTGAGCACCACTCCTCTGAGCTTTCCCCGGGATAACCAGATGTGCAGACATGCAGGCACTTAAACAGCTTCCCATCCCCCCCACCCCAACGAGTTAGCTGGATTTCGTTCTGGCTTTTCCACGTGTCCTTCAAGGCAGCTATTGCCTGCTGTCATGATCCACAGTTCATCTATGTGTGTAAGCACAGGGTATAAGAAGGCGTCTTTTCAAAAAATTGTCTCCCGTGCCAGACTTTTGCTTTGCAACTACAGAACATCGTTGAAAGAAATAAGGACTAAATAGATGGGAATACATCCAATGTTCATGGATTGAACAAGTCAGTATCACTAGGATGACCATACTCCCCAGACTCATTTCTGGATTCAACCAGTGCTCTACCGGAATCACAGTAGGATTTGTGCAGAAAGTGACAAAATGTTCCTAAAATTCATATGGAAATGGAAGGGACCCAAAACAGACAAAAGAAGAATGAAATTGGAGAATTCACACCTCCCGATTTTAAAACTTACTACAAAGTTACTTTAATCAAAACAGACTGGTACTGACATAAGCATGGATATTTAAAATCCACAGAAGAGAACTGAGTATCGGGTAATCAGGCCTCCCATCTGTGGTTAACTGAGTGCCAAGACCATTCAATGAGGAAAGGATCTAACAAAAGGTGCCGCATAGCCCACATGCAAATGAATAAAGTTGGACCCCTTCATCATCACACAGATGAACTCAGAATGGGTCATAGGGGCCAGCATCGTGGCACAGCGGGTAAAGCTGCCACCTGCTACTCCTGTGTCCCAAACGGGTGCCGATTTGTGTCCTGGCTACTCCACCTCCAGCTCCCTGCTGATGGCCTGGGAAAAGCATCAGAAGATAGCTCAAGTGTTTGGACCTGGGCCACCCACATGAGAGATCCAGATGAAGCTCCTGGCTCCTGGCTTTCCGCTGGCCCAGGCGTGGCTGTTGCACCTGTCTGGGGAGAGAACCAGTAGATGGAGAATCTCCCTCTCTCTAACTCTGAGTTTCAAATAAATTAATTAAAAAAATGGATCATAGACCTAAATGTAAGAGCCAAAACTCCTTGCTTCCTTAGATATGACACCCAAAAGCAAGAAAAGTGGATAAATTAGACTTTGTCAAAATTTAAAACATTTGTACTTCGATGAATACCATCGGTAAAAAAGACATCCCACAGAAAGGGTGGAAACATTTGTAAGTCTGATATTCAATAAAGAACTTATAGCCAAACTACATAAAGACCTCTCACAGCTCAACAACAAAATAATCAAAAATAGGCCAACTGACTTGAAAAGACATTTCTCCAAACCAAACAAGTGCCCATGGCCAATAAGCTTACTGAAATGGTGTTCAGCATTATTAGTTGTTAGGGAAATGCAAATTAAAACCACAATGAGGTAATGGGATGCCACTCACAACCCTGGCTATCTTTTTTTTTTTTTTTTTTAAAGAAAGAGGCAGGCATTTAGTACAGAGATTAAGACACCACTTGCTGGGGCTGGCTCCCTGGCCTGTGGCACCGGCATCCCATACGGGCGCTGGTTCGAGACCCGGCTGCTGCACTTCTGCTCGAGCTCTCTGCTATGGCCTGGGAAAGCAGTGGAAGATGACCCAAGTCCTTGGGCCCCTGCACCCACGTGGGAGATCCGGAGGAAACTCCTGGCTCCTGGCTTCGGATCAGCACAGCTCTGGCCATTGTAGCCAATTGAGGAGTGAACCAGCGGATGGAAGACCTCTCTCTTTCTGCCTCTCCTCTCTCTGTGTAACTCTGACTTTCGAATAAATAAATCTTTTTTTTTTTTTTTTTTACAGGCAGAGTGGACAGTAAGAGAGAGAGACAGAGAGAAAGTTCTTCCTTTACCATTGGTTCACCCTCCAATGGCCGCCGCGGCCGGCACACTGCGCTGAAGTCAGGAGCCAGGTGCTTCCCCTGGTCTCCCATGCGGGTGCAGGGCCCAAGCACTTGGGCCATCCTCCACTGCCTTCCTGGGCCACAGCAGAGAGCTGGACTGGAAGAGGAGCAACCAGGACTAGAACCTGGGGTGCCGGTGCTGCAGGCGGAGGATTAGCCTAGTGAGCCGCAGCACGGGCCAATAAATCTTTTTTTTTTTTTTAAAGACACCACTTGCATTGTTTGTATCCCGTATCAGAGGGCCTAGGTCTGGTCCTGGTTCTACTTCTAATTCCAGCTTCCTGCGAAGGTGCACCCTGGGAGGCAGCAGGGGATGGCTCCAGTATATGCATCCCTGCCACCCAGGCGGGAGACTTCGGATTGAGTTCCAGGATCCTGGCTTCAGTGTGGCCCAGCCCCAGCTCTTACAGATATTTGAGCCAGTTCGTGGATGTTTGTCTGTCGGTCCCAGACTACTTTGCAAATAAAAAGAAAAAAGATAAAAAAAATTTAAAAAGAGAACAAATGTTGGTGAAAAGAAAATTGGCCCCCTCCTACACTGCTGGGGGGACATACATGGTGAAGCCCTTGGAAAGTGTCCAGCATTTCATCATGGAGCTCACCCTCTCACAGCAACTCCGCTTCTCGGGGTGTGGCCCTAGGAATGAGCGCTTGCAGAGATTTGTACACAAACGTCCACTGCAGCCCAGGAAAAGGAGAAACAACCCAGATATCCACCAGTGGATGGATCAGTACACAGAATACAGTGCGTGCATACAGCCGGATACTGTCTAGCCATAGAAGTGAGGGGACCGCTGATGGAGCTGCAGCACAATGACTCGAAAATGTGGTAACTGGAAGCAGTCAGTCGTGAAAGACCACATGTTGTTGCCTCCACTTACATAAAATATCCAGAATAAGCAGACTAGTGGAGATAACCGGTAGCTTCGTAGGTGTTTTGGCTGCAGATAGGATGGGAAGAGAGAGCCCTCACAGGTACAAGTTTTCCTTTTGGGTGAATGACTGTTTCTAAAGTCGACTGTGACGATGCTTGTGCAACACTGTGAATATATTAAAAGACACTGAATCATGCATTTTGAATGGGTAGGTTTTATGTGGATTTTATGTCAACAAAGCTGTTATATAAAAATTTAAATTGTTTTCTAACTCACCCATGGAAAGATGGACGTCAGGCCTCCCTCTCGGCTGCGTCATGGCACCTAGCGTGGCTGCTGGGCTTCCCAGCATCCTGGAAGGCAGTCCAGAGCAGGCAGCGCAGGCCCCGGGTCCGTCTGAGAGACAGAGTCCTGCCAGGGCTGGGCTGAAGAAGCTTCTGGAGCGGCACACCCCCGGTCTCCCACTGCCGCCTTCTGCCGTGGTTTACCTTCATCCCCAGGAGAACGAAGAATGGAAACAAATCGTCATGATGAAAAGTAAGAAAACGCGGGTGGGGGAAGAAGAAAATAAAATGTGTTTCAGGAACCTCTGCCTTCCGTGCCGTGGACTGACGCCGGGCTGTCGTGTCTTCCCGCCAGTGAGGAGGGGCTCCTGGGCCGTGGTGCCTCTCATTACCCACACCGAGCCGCCTGACCACAGACCTGCCTCCGTGGCCCCAGCCAGAGTTCTCCAGCTCGTGGTCCCAAAGGCCAACTGCTAGCTGATATGTGCTACAACGCAAATGACCGGGTGTTTGGCGAGCTGCTCAGCCCAGCCCTTCCTCGTCTTGATGGATCACGGGAGCCTGCAGTCAGCCGGGATTCCACCTGAGTCGTCTGAGCTGACATTTAAAGGCCAGGGACCAGCTCCTGTCCTAACTCAGTTTTCCAAATAGGGAAGCCGACTCCAGCATGGCCCAATGGCTTGTTTAAACACACCGCTTACCACTGGAGGAGTTTCCTTCCATATCTCATGCTTAACAGATTTTGGTGGAACTTTAGGCCAGGGTTCAGCCCGTGGGCCACATTGACCCACCACTTGTCTTTTTTTAATTAATTATTTATTTAAGATCTAATTTATTTGAAAGGCAGAGTTACAGAGAAAGGTAGAGACAGAGAAAGGTCTTCCATCCACTGGTTCACTCCCCAAATGGTCACAACCACCAGGGCTGGGCCAAGCAGAAGGCTGGAGCTTCCTCCTGGTCTCCACGTGGGTGCAGGGACCCAAGCACTTGGGCTACTTTCCACTCCCAGGTGCATTAGCAGGAAGCTGGATCGGAAGTGGACCAGTAGGGACTTGAACCAGGACCTAGATGAGATGCCAGCACTGCAGGCCAGGGCTTTAACCCGCTGAGCCACAGTCCCAGGGCCCACCACTTGTCTTTGTAAATAGTTTTACTGGTGCACAGCCATGCCGTGTGTTTACGGATTGTGCGGCTCCTTGTGCCTTGGGCTGGCAGGGCTGAGTCGCTGCAGCAGACGGGCTGCTCTGCAAGGCCTTGACAGGAAAAGCTTGCCCGCCCTTGCTCTAAGTTAATGAGGAACAAGGAAGGTGGAACAGTGTTCCCTGCCACTTCCAAAAAGTTGACTACTTCCATATGAGAGGCAGAGAGGAAAAGGAAAGGGGCTGCTGGCAGGGTTTAGAGGCCTAGGAAATCCTCAGCCAGCTCACCGCTTTGTAGATTTGCGATTTGCTTCAGTTAGCCAAGTGCAGCTCCTGCTGTGCTCTCGAGGGTGGGGTGTAGGGGCCGGTGCTGTGGCGTAGTGGGTAAGGCTGCCAACTGCAGTGCCAACATCCCATATGGGCGCTGGTTCGAGTCCCAGCTGCTGTACTTCCGATCCAGCTCTCTGCTATGGCCTGGGAAAGCAGTGGAGGATGGCCCAAGTCCTTGGGCCCCTGCACCCACTGCTCCTGGCTCCTGGCTTTAGATGAGCGCAGCTCGGGCTGTTTCTAGCCAGTGAACCAGTGGTTGGAAGACCTCTCTCTCTCTCTCTTTCTGCCTTTCCTTCTCTCTCTGTGTAACTCTTTCAAATAAATAAAAAAAAATTTTTTTTAAAAAAGGGGGAGATGGGGAGTAGACAGTGCCCGCAGCTGAGTCCTGGGTTGCTCTCTCACTGTCTTTTTAAAGGTTGATTTATTTATATAGAAAGATCCTCCACCTGTTGGTTCATTCCCCCAAATGGCTGCACTAGCCAGGCCTGGGCCAGGTCAAAGGGACCAGGAACTCCATCGAGGTCTACATCCTGCTGCTTTCCCGGGCACATTAGCAGGAAGCTGGATCAGAAGTGGAGCAGCTGGGCCTCCAACTCACAGTCCAGTGTGGAATGTCTATGGCTTAATGGGCTGTGCCACAAGGCCGTCACCCACCCCTGTTGGTCTTTTCATCCAAAGCCATTCAAAGCAAGGCTAGTAAAACAGGATACACATTGACATTGAGCATTTTTTTTAAAGTACAAGCTTTTTGGTTTGTTTTTACACTTGATCTTAGCCAAAAGGCCGAGAAGCAATTTTTGGTTTGTTTTTGAATAGAGTAAAAGGCCATTTGTTTGAGTCACCTTTTGTTTGGAGCTCACCTTTCTTGCATAAATAATACTTAATATTGTCTTCCTGGTAGTCCCCTAGTTTCTCTTAAGAATCACTTCAACCCTTATTTTGAATTTGTTTTTAATATATTTTTATTTATTTTCGTTTTATTTGAAAGGCAGAGAGAGAGAGAATCTTATCCAGTGGTTCAGTCTCCAGATGCCTGCAGCAGCTAGGGTTGGGTCAAGCCGAAGCGAGGAGCCTGCACTCCGTCCAGGTCTCCCACGGGGGTAACAGGGCCCCAGGTACTTGAGACGCCACCTGCTGCTTCCCTGGGTGTGTGTTAGGAAGAAGCTGGCTGGGAAGCAGTGGAGCTGAACTTGAATCAGGCACTCTGATGGAGGACGTGAGTGCCCCACGTGGCCACCTAACCAGTGCGCCAAATTCCCACCCCTAGCCCTTAACAGAACAGACCACACAGGAATCAGATCCCTGGGCACCAATCAACACTCCTGAATCAGAGTTTTCTAGGGCTGATCCCAGTTATCTGTGTATTTCACAAGTGCCCCAGGTTTTTCTTACCAGGAAACCTTGGAAAACCCAGGATTACTGCTTCTGGGTTTTGATGTTTTTCTTTCTTTTTTCTTTTTCTTTTTTTTTTTTTTTTTTTTTAAGGAACTAAAGAATTTACAAAGAGGAACTTGGAAAACAATCTTAACAGGCTTTTGTTTAGTGACTCATTATGTCTTTGCAAAGCGTTCAGTTTTCCTAGAAATAGCTCTCTTCACCACCTGTGTTTTTACAGTTCATTATATGATTTTAAATTAAATTAGATGATTACGTTAACCAATAAAAGTGGCACGAAGAGATCTGGTACCAACACAGTCTTTTTTTTTTTTTTTTTTTTTTTGAAGACTTACTTATTGAAAGGCAGAGTTACATGGAGAGAGAGATCTTAAATCTTCTGGTTCATTTCCCCAAAGTGGCTGCAATGGCCAGGGCTGGGCCAGGCTGAAGCCAGGAGCCTGGAACGCCATCCTGGTCACTCACCTGGGTGCAGGGGCCCAAGCACTTTGGCTGTTTTCTGCTGTTTTCCCAAGCGCATTAGCAGGGATCTGGATTGGAAGTGGAGCAGTGGGGTCTTGAACTGGTGCCCATATGGGATGCCAGCATCGCAGACTGCAGCTTAACCTGCTGCACCACAGTGCCAGAAGACCAGGGAGGGCACAAACTGCACAGGTGAGCCAGAAAGGAGGTTTTCAATCATGTATACTTTTCACATTAAAATTTTTCTTTAATTATTTGAAACGCAGAGAGAGAGAGAGAGAGAGATCTCTCATCCTCTGGTTCAGTCTCCAAATGCCTCAGCAGCTCTTAGGGGCTGGTGTTGTGGCATAGCAGGTTAAGCCATCGCCTGCGATACCAGCATCCCATTTGAGTACCAGTTTGAGTCCTGGCTGCTCTACTTCTGGTCCAGTTTCCTGTTAATGTGCCCAGGAAAGCAGTGAATGACAGCCCAGTGCTTAGGTCTCTGCCACCCATGTGGAAGACCAGCATGGAGTTCCTGGCTCCTGGCTTTAGCCTGACCCAGCACCAGCTTTCGTGGTCATTTGGGGAATGAACCAGTGGATGGAAGGTCTCTGTCTCTACTCTCTCTGTTGCTCTGCTTTTCAAATACACAAATGATTTTTTTTTAAAGATCCATTTATTTACCTGAAAGGTAGAATTAGAGAGAGAGAAATAACTTCCATCTGCCGGTACTCTCCTCAGATGGCCACAACAGCTGGAGCTGGGTCAGGCTGAAGCCAGGAGCCAGGAGTCTCCCCTGGGTCTCCCATGTGGGTACAGGTGCCCAAGTACCCAAGCCATCCTCCTCTGCTTTCCCAGGTGCATTGGAAGTGGAGCAGCTGGGACTTGCCCATATGGGATGCCGGCATTGCAGACAGCAGCTTTACCCGCCATGCCACAGCACCTGCTAAATAAATGAATCTTTAAATACATACACATACACAGACACACACCTATTACATTACTATAAATTTCTGTAGAAGTAGAATGGAAATACAAACTAAAAAAGTGAAGGTTCCATTCATTATAAAGGACTTGCATATTTATTTATTTATTTTTAAAGATTTATTTGAAAGAGAGTTATAGAGAGAGAGAGAGAGGTTTTCCATCCGCTGGTTCACTCCCCAGATGGCCGCAATGGCCGGAGCTGAGCTGATCCGAAGCCAGGATCCAGGAGCGTCTTCCGGGTCTCCCACGTGGGTGCAGAGGCCCAAGGAGTTGGGCCATCTTCTACTGCTTTCCCAAGCCATAGCAGAGAGCTGGATCAGAAGTGGAACAGCTGGGACTTGAACTGGTGCCCATATGGGATGCCGGCACTGCAGGCAGAGGCTTTACCAGCTATGCCACAGTGCCGGCTGCATATTTATTTTGTAAATTGAATGATGATTCTTATAAAATAAAATGACATTTAGGGGGCCAGTGCTGTGGCATAGCTGGTAAAGCCTCTGTCTGAAGCACCAGCATCCCATATAGGCGCTGGTTCGAGATCTGGCTGCTCCACTTTCGATCTAGCTCTCTGCTAAGGCCTGGGAAAGCAGTAGAAGATGGCCCAAGTCCTTGGGCCTCTGCACCCACGTGGGAGACCCGGTAGACGCTCCTGGCTCCTGGCTTTGGATCAATGCAGCTCCAGCCGTTGCAGCCAATTGAGGAGTGAACCAGTGGATGGAAGACATCTCTCTCTCTCTCTGTCTGTCTCTCCTCTCCCTGTGTAACTCTGACTTTCAAATAAATCTCTTAAAAAATGACATTTAGATTTGACTAAATTATATGGCAGTTTTATTTTTAAATATCAGTATGTCTAATACACACTGACTCAATCGTCAGATATTTCTGATATAAAATTATAGGTGTTAACTTTTTAAATGTGAAGTGGGGTTGAGTGTTTGGCACAGCATTTAAGATACCACTTGCGTGGCCAGTGTTGGGATGCAGTGGGTTAAGCCGCTGCCTGCAACGCCAGCATCCCATATGGGTGCCAGCTGGAGTCCTGGCTGCTCTACTTCCCATCCAGCTCCCTGCTAATGCCTGGAAAAGCAGCGGGAGATGACCCAAGTGCTTGGGCCCCTGCACCTACATGGAGACCCAGATGGAGTTCCTGGCTCCTGGCTAGGGCCTGGCCTAGACCTGGCTGTTGCAGCCATTTCAGGTGTGAACCAGTGGAGGGAAGCTCACTCACTCGATCTCTCTCTCCCTCTCTTTGTAACTCTGCTTTTTAAGTAAATACAATGTAAAATAGAACTTAAGAAAATACACAACTTTCAACGCCCACATCCCTCGTCGGAGCGTCTGGTTTTGAGTCTTGCTTCCAGTCTCCAGGCTGTCTTCCCACTGACGGGCACCATGAAGGGAGGCAGTGGGTGATGGCTCAAGTCCTTGGTTCTCACGGCTCACGTAGGAGGCCTGGATAGAGTTCATATGTTTCATCAATTAAAAAAACATATTTTACTAAAAAGGTCTTCTGGGTTGAATTTTTGCTGTAGTAATTTGTAGTTCAGACAGTCCCCGTACTTGGAATTTTGCACTCGGATCAGCCCTGCATCTGAGTCTCCCGGGGGGAGGGGGCCCCGCAGCCTCTGTGTTGCTGAGCGCGGAGGCGTGGGAGCCCCGAAGTCAGGTGCATTGGGCGCAAACTGCTTCACAGTGCGTGCACTGACAGTGATCTGCACGGAACCGTCATGAGTCCAGGAGCAGCTACACAGACACACAGATAGAGGTTTAACTCCCAAACAGTAGACCTCTATGGAAACACACCTCTCAACAGGTGCGGGAGACAAACTTTTCCAGTGTAGTCTGTGTACCATCCTGTTAGGAGACAGGCGTTCCCATCCAGGCCCCGCCTCCAGTCACCACAGGTAGGTGAGTGGTCCTGTCAGTCAGTGCAGGGAATGGGCTCCACGCTCCGAGGGAGACTGCCCTGCGTGGAGCCTGGAACAGTGGCCGTGTCCCCAAACCAAGGACCAGGCAGCTGTCAGAGGGCAGAGGTTTTCGTGACGTTTAAAAGCTGCAACTCTGAACAGACTCCAAGCAGCTGGCCAAGAGACCATGAGAAATTTAAAGTGCGTGGCCGCAGGGATCTGGGCGCGACCGTGGCCGTGAGAACTGTGTGAGCTGAGAAGCCCGGCCGTCCTGCCGAGGTCGCTCATCACTGCTCCACCTGGCCCTTCCGTTTCAGGTTTCACTTCCAAGGACCCTGCGGGACGACCCTCCCCGAAGCCCTTGCCCGTCACGAAACAGAAGCTGGCTCGTAGGTGTCCTGGGAAGAAAGACGAAATCACAGTACAGACGAGAACCAGGCCGCAGACCCGGGAGAGATGGACTTGCGGACGGGTGGTGAGCCTACTGCTGGAGATCTGAACATGCCCTCTGATTCCAATCTGTTAGAAGTTAGCAGCAGCAAACCTGTTAGGGAGAACAAAATCCGAGAGCTTCGAAGCTGATGCATGTTACTCGGGTGGAACTTAAACACGCGCATTGTTGTGTTTGGCTGGCTGTGGGGGAGGCAAAACAGAATCTGTGATTAGGTGATCTAAAATGTAATTATCCTGATTGCGTTTTTGCTCTCTGGGCAAAGATGACAAGGTAAAATCCGAACATTGGTTCTAATTTTCACATAAGCTTGGATGAAAAATAAAGCCGGGCACTGCAGCCGGTGTCGTGCTGCGTGATGCTTCTGCTGGGGGCTCCTCCCTCTCCGCGGTTGCCTCGTTTGGCTGCCGTATCGCAGAGCAGCAGCCCTCCTGGAAGCGAGGCAACAGCAACACAAGGGACACGCGGGATCAGGGACACGGACCCGAGGGCCGGCCGCCGGCTTCTGCCAGGCTCCCCAGAGGCAGTTCGGGGAGGTGCTTCTGGTTCCCACCGCCCCGGGATGCCTGCTGCCCGGCCCCGTGTGCTGTGCACCTGCTCACCGGAGCCCGCGCGGAGCAGCCTGCGGTGTCACGGGGACAGGCAGCGCCACGTTCGGTGCTGCACTTGGATACCCGCGCAGGGGCCTCTGCCTGGGGGAGGGGCGCTCAGAGGGCGCCCGGGCGGCCAGGGGCCCCTGCTGCCCCGGTCCCTCCCCCGGGGCCCGTCAGGCTGGAACCTTAGCGCCCGCAGCTTCCTGTCGCTGTTTCGTCCTATCTGCCGTTGTCGCTGGGAAACGAGGGGTCGCTTCTGAACTAGGAGAAACGAAGGAATGGACGTGCAGACGATCGGTGAGATGGAATCACTCAGCTTAGCGGCCTCTACTGGAGACGACGCCGGGAGTGAACCGGTTCGCAGGCGCTGGGCCGCGCGCTCCCGGACTCCCGGAACGCTCGCGACCCGGGGAAATCCGCGCACCGGGCACGGGCAGAGCGGGGCCGGGGCGGCGGCCAGCGCGAAGCGAGCCCCGGGGAGGGGAGCCGCGCCCAGGGTGCCGGGCAGGGCAGGGGCCGCGCGGCGGGCGGCGGCAGGTGCACGGAGCTCACCAGGAACAGAGTCCGCCTGCGGCGGCGACGCAGGCGCGCTGGAGGTAGCCGAGGCCGGGCGGCGCACGAACCCCCAGGGAGCCGGCTCCGGGCCCTCGCACCGCGCCGGGGACCCGCGCCAGCCCACAGTCTCCGCAGGCCGTGGAGGAGGCGGGCGGCCGACGTCCCCGCGAGGCCCACAGGGCCCCGGGAGGCCGGAGCAGAGGAGAACGCGCCCCCCGCGCTTAGGCCACGCCCCTCCTGCGCGCCCGCCCGTCGTGGCACCTCCGGACCTGCAGGGGGCGACGGAGGCCCGCGCGGCCTGCTCCTCCACGTCGCGCTCTGCTTGCGGCTGCTTCCGGGTCGGAGGTCAGGCGGCTCAGCGTTCGCGTGCGCCATGGTGCAGCTCCGGCCTCGTCCGTCCCGCACGCCGGCGTCGGCCGAGGCCATGGTGGACGAGGGCCAGCCGGCCTCGGAGGAGGAGGAGGCGGAGCACGGCCTGCTGCTCGGGCAGCCCAGCAGCGGCGCGGCCGCCGAGCCGCTGGAGGACGAGGAAGCCGACGAGGAGTCGGACGACGAGGCCCCGGAGGAGCTGACGTTCGCCAGCGCCCAGGCGGAGGCGAGAGAGGAGGAGCGGCGGGTGCGGGAGAGCGCGCGCAGGTTGGAGCCCGCGGCCGGGCGGGGGAGAGGGGGAGTGGCGGGGGCGGGAGCGCGCGCAGGTGGGAGCCCGCGGCCGGGCGGGGGAGAGGGGGAGTGGCGGGGGCGGGAGCGCGCGCAGGTGGGAGCCCGCGGCCGGGCGGGGGGAGAGGGGGAGTGGCGGGGGCGGGAGCGCGCGCAGGTGGGAGCCCCCGTCCCGCCCGTCACGCTCGTCCCGCGCTGACTTCCCTCCCGCTGTCCCAGGGACAAGGTGCTGCTGAAGGAGAAGAGGCGGCGGCGCGAGGAGCTCTTCGTCGAGCAGAAGGTCGGAGGGGGAGGCCGGCGGGGTGTCTGAGGGGCGCAGGGGGAGGCTGGCGGGGTGTCGGAGGGGTGGAGGGGCGCAGGGGGAGGCCGGCGGGGTGTCGGAGGGGCGGGGCGGGGGGAGGCCGGCCCTCGCAGCGGGTGCCGGGAGCCCCCGACAGGGAGCGGTGGGCGCCTCCGCAGGGGCTTGGGCACACCCGGTGTGGCGATGGGCGGCAGTGTCCGGCCTAAGCCGCCCAGTTGCCCGCGTGCGGGGCAGCAGCAAGTCCGCTTGTAACCGTCCTCACCTGCTTTGGAATGTTGACCCCCAAAGAAGAGAAAGCTCCTTCCGGATGCCGTCCTCCAACAGCTGGCCGCCGCTCCGCAGACCAGGTGAGGAGGGGTCGCAGCCCAGACACTGGGCTCTCCCGGAGCCGGGCAGTGTGCAGGGCACCCGCGGGCAGGGCACCCCCAGACTCACCGCGTCTCCCTGCTCCGCCACCTGCTGTTGAAGCCAAAACCTGAACCCCTCTTCCTTGTCGAACAAGGAATCAGATCCTACCCAATTTAGCCTTTCTAAGTACATGTGGCTTTTTTTTTTTTTTTAAGATTTTATTTATTTGAGAGGTAGAGTTACAGACAATGAGAGGGAGAAACAGAGAAAGGTCTCCCATCCACTGGTTCACTCCCCAAATGGCCCCAATGACCAGACTTGAGCCGATCTGAAGCCAGGAGCTTCTTCCGAGTCTCCCAGGTGGGTGCAGGGGCCCAAGGACTTGGACCATCTTCTACTGCTGTCCCAGGCCACAGCAGAGAGCTGGATCGGAAGAGGAGCAACTGGGACTCGAATGGGCACCCACACGGGATGCTGGCACTGCAGGCAGGGGATTAACCTGTGGTGCCAGCCCTTCCTTAGTGCTTTAAATTCAGAAGTTCAGTCCTTCCTTTAACCTAGGCCAGTGGTACTCACATTTTCCAGTCACTCAGTAGATGCCTAAAACATACAAGCAAGTCTCCTTGCGCAGTTTTCATCCTTAAACACCAAGCTCAAGTATTGTCTCCCTTCCTGAAGCCCCTCTGCCTCTGGGTGCTCCCGCAGTCTCTGGTTGGATTTTGGCAGTGTGTGCGCTTGCCTCTCCATCAAACTACAGACTCCTTGAGGCTGCTGGCCTTGTCGCTAGTGCCCAGACTACTCCAGGTCCACTTCCTTTAACTTCCTGTTCTGAATACTATATAACGCATTCTTAAATCTTTTTATTCTTTGGAAGCCTGAGAATATGCTTTGATTTCAATTTCAAGAGGATGCCCCCAGCCTAGTCATACTTAAATGGGAGTGGTGCGGTCATTGGAGAGTGACTCTTGCTCTCCAGAACTGAAGATGGTGGTAACGCAGGGCGTGGGGCCTAGCTTTAAGCCACAGGAAACTGTGTGGCACATTCAGCCATCTGTGCCAATTCCAGTGTTTTTCTTTTTTCCTTAGCATAAAGAAATCGCCAGGAAAGCTGAAAGAAGGTATGAGCTATTCTAAATTTTCTTAAAATTTATTTGAAAGGAACAGAGAATGAGAGATTTATCTTCCATATGCTGGTTCTTTCCCCAAATGGCCACAATGGCCAGTTTGGTGGAGGCTGAAGCCAGGGGCCAGGAGCTTCTTCCAGGTCTCCTGTGTGGGTACAGGGAACCGAGAATTTGGGTCTGCTGCTGCTGCTGCCTTCCCAGGCACATTCGCAGAGAGCTGGATTGGAAGTGGAGTTTTTGGGACTCAATCCAGCACCCATATGGGATGTCAGCAGTAGCTTAACCTATGCCACAGCAACAGCGCTGGCCTCTAATTTAAATTTTTCTGGGAAAGATGGAAACAAACTTCCCACCTGCAGGTTCACTTCTCAGATGCCCACGACAGCAGGGGCCGGAGCAGGCTGGTCAGCAGCTGGGAACTCAGTCCAGGTCTCTTGTGCGGGTGGCAGGAAATCAGCTCCTTGAGCTATTGCCTGCTGGTCTTCCCAGACAGTCTGATGTGGGATGCCGGCACCCAGCGCTATCCCAAATGCCTGTTCCTAAACTATTCTAATTTAAATAATTTCGTACGTAAATGTCAAATGTTTCTGCAAGTACTTCAAAAAGTTCTTGAGAAAATGTCTATTTGATACAAAAAAAATTTGAAATCAATGCCTAGTTGTTTTCATAGCAGGCATTTTCCATGGAATTTGAAAGACCCCTGGTGTTTTCAGTTGCATGTTACTGGTCCTGGTTAAGTCAGCTGCAGCCTGTCCCCTCTGTGCCTAATGTAGAAAACAGTGCACAGTGGCGCCTGGCAGGTAGTGAAGGTGAAGTCCAGGAAGCAGTCCTGGAACTAGCACATAAATGCTAACGAGAAAATGCAACTTAATTTTTTAGTTAATTTGCAAAAGAAAAAAGAAGAATGCGAAAAAGGAAGCGACTCCAAGAAAGTCAAAGTGCAGAAAGTGCAGTCTGTCGGGCAGTAAGTCCTTGCTTCACACGGGATGCGAGGGACCTTCGCAGAGTCAGACTGCTGGCTTCTGTGGAAAGTGGTAGCTGCTTCAGCTTCGGTGTATGAAACTCAGCTCTGACATTTATTTAGAAATACACATGTTCTTCCTCTACTAAAATGTGAATGTTAGTCTATTCTGCAAAATAATTTACAAGTTTGGTGGCGTTTATTATTTTATCTGGATACAAAATTAGAATTGTTTTACATTACTACAAACGAGACAACTGACAGTACTTGATTTTGAAAGTACGCATGTGTCCATCCTCATCTCTTTTAACCTGTTGTTACTGATTACCAGCCAGAATAAAAGCTACGTGGCCCTGAGGCTCAAAGACCAAGAACTGAGAGATTCGAGGCAGCAAGCGGCCAGGGCCTTCATACACGAATCTTTATATGGCCCAGGAACCAACAGAACTAGTGGTAATTTCCTTTGTGGTCTGTTTTTCTTGCTTCTACTGCACACAAGACAGAGCAGTAACGAGCAATTTCCTTTCCTAGTAAACAAGTTCCTGTCTCTCGACAACAAGCGCTTACCAGTGAAGAAGGCTGCCGCCCAGTTTTTGAACAGTGCGTGGGGTAAGCACCGCTTCCTTCTGACTCTCACAGGTCGGGTAGTATTCTTTTGAAGGAAATAGTTCATGACTTTTTTCCCTTGTGATAGTTTCTATGTTAACATCTTTCTTAAACATGTATGTACTTACTTGAAAGTTAGAGAATATTCCATCTGCTGATTCACTCCCCAGGTAGCTGCAACAGCCAGAGCTGGGCAAGGCTGGAGCCAGGACCCCTGGACTCCATCCAGGTCTCCCTTATTAGGCGGCAGGGTTCCAAGTCAAATGCTGCTTTCCCAGGCACATTAGCTGGGAGCTGGATCGGAAGTGGAACAGCTGGGCCTCGAACCATCGCCTGTATGGGGTGTTGCAGGCAATAGCTTTACCTGCTGTGCCAGAATGCCTGCCCCTATGTTAACATCTAAAAAATTGGTTCTAAAAAGATGGATCTGTGTAGGATATCATGCATGTACATCTAATATACAATCTGATAGCCCTAGTTTTACTGTGTTTAGAAACCAGATAATCGGGGGGAAATCTTTTGAATTGTTTCTTGGGAATTTTTTCTATAGCTACTTAATATTATCACTGCATAAAAATTCTATTCTAGGAACCCAGAAAAAACAGAATGCCAAGAGATATAAAAGACGATGGATGATCAGAAAGATGAAAACTCCTAAGAAGTAAATTGAAGCCAAATGAAGAATCTGCGCTTCGTATGTACAGAATTTAAAAGTTAATTAAGGAATTACCTTCTGAAAGATAATCATTCATAAATCTATTTGTAAGGGAAATACTTGACCACATTTTATCCTGCTAGACTACAGGGCTGCCTTGTCTTTTAAAGCGATCACATTTCTTTCTATTTCTATCCATTTAACTGAATACAAGCAATACCCATACCGCAACATTGCCTCCTTTTCCCCCACCGTGTGGGGGCGTGGCAGGGACAGAAAGCAGGCAGTTCTCAGAAATACTTGGGTGCCTGCCGAGCTTCTGTTCCACAGAATTCTGCTCTGTAAAACTGTGGAAAGTGCAGATTGAAGTGGAGATAAACATCTGGTCTTCCTCACCAAGGGATCAGGTTAATCTGTTGAACACCTTTTAAGTTCTGGCAAGATGATATACCAATTACAATTATGAAAACGAGAAGTTATTGCCTGTTTTTTTGTGTCACACATAATATCAGGTAATAGGAAATGCCATTTCCCACTTAGTTTTACCATTTATAGTGAATGGTTTTTATTCTAATTTTATAGTAGTCTTAAGGGTAAGTACCTAATATAAACTCAATTGACACTCTAGTATCTGTAGAAGTAAATTTTTAATGGCTGGTTAATTATATCACTACATTTTTATTGCAATATAGTACTCATTTTAAGCACTTAAAAATGGAAGGTGTACAAAGATTAAATTAAGACACGGTAAATTGACTAAATATTTGGTTTTTATATAAATAAAGGTCATAACCACACTGTTGACATGTAATACTGTTATAATACAACAGTTAAACTTGTGAGTCTACAACAGAAATCATCTGTAGTTAAACAGGAAACAAAGTTGAAAAGACCATGTTAAAACAAAACTACTGGGACTAACAGGTCGGGATTGTAAGTAGCAACAAACATATCACTCAGCTCCTGAGTATTTCAAGTTTTACAGTACACATTAAAAATGATTTCTTCCATCAACACTATGAATTCAAACTGTCGATGTTTATGCATTTTGCAAGTTACACTGATTGAATGCTTATGTAGGAGCGGGGGTCGGAACATCTCCCAGTTTGAAGTTTACGTCACCCACATGCTAACACAAACACGACTTGTTCCGTTTCCTCCCCCCTCTCCCCCCCACAAAGAAAGGCAGGACTTTTTTGGTTTGTTTTAGGTAATTGTTTTATAGGATTTGTGATGATCAATTTGAACGTCTGAAATTCAGTAATATTTAACTCTTAGACAACTAAGAGGTTAAAGATGGAAAATAAATTTCTCCTAACACTAAGTTAGAAAATCATTTGCATCATGCTGTAAACTAGGAAGCAATGTAAAGCGACAAAAACCTGTCCCCAGTACATAATTAAAAAAATCTAAATTTCAAATCCGCAGAGCTGGTCTACTTCCGTGTTGACTAAATGCCACAATATAGGTGTGAGCTCTTGAAATGCATAGCTAATGCAGGTAGTCTTCCACCGTGGCAAATGCACAGGATCCGATCCCTGACCGAGCCATCAGTCCCAGACACTGTGTGGCCTGTCCCATTGCTAGGGCAAGCGGAGGTTGCTTTGGCAGATTGTGAGTTTCTGAGGAAATAGAGTTAAGAATGGAAATAGCAATTAGTGAAACATTTTTTAAAAAACATCTCCCCATCAGGAAAATACTGTTAGTAGGCGTAACTGAAAAAGGGCAAAACACAGTGTGGCTGGTTTAGCTTCATCCTCGGTTCAGAGCTCACAAGTATGGCTGTAGGAGAATTTCTAGAAGAAAAGACTCGAACACATTCAAGAATTGAAACTTACGGGAAGGAGGCGTGCAGACAGGTACACAGCCTGGTGAAGGCTGAGAGGATTAAAGGGCAGACACAGCACTGCGAGGGAGGAGGCCTGTGTCTGAGGGAAGCGCACAGCCCTGCACAAAGGTGCACTCTTACTACTATTACCATTTGGCCAGAGGAATAGGAATTATGTGCAGTTAATGCATTTACTACACATACATGAACCTACGTAATACAGCATATATTTATACACATGCATACTTATCCACAACAATCTTTAATAATCTTGTCAATTTTATAGGAGTTATACGTTATATAAATTACACAGTATTTATAGCCAAACATCCACAATAGAGCATAGTACTTCAGAATATATAAGGGGGGGTCTTCAGAAAATTCATGGGAAAAAATGTATATTATGAACACACCATGCATGGATTTCAAAAACTATGTAGCTAAATAAGCCTTTGATTTCCATTTTCCATGAATTTGTCAAAGCACCCTCACATATCCAGTTCCCCCCCAAGAGCCCAAAGAAATAAACTATCCTGAGAGCTGCTTACTTTTGTTCAGAAATTCTTTCCACATCTGACTACTACCTAACAGCTACATCAGGATTACCCATAGTATAGTTTCAGTGACAATTACAATAAACCATGATTTTCCCTGCATATCTAATACATTTTCTTTGATGGTTTTTTGCTTATATACAAATTCTAAGTTTAAGCAAACTGTAACACAAAAGACATTACTATTCCCTAACAAATAATAAGGCTTCTTTACATTCCTGGCCCGCATTACAACCTCCCTGTCTGTCTAAGTCACTTTGGGACACTGCTCTCATTTTCCTAAAATAGTTTGAAACACTTGACTAAAAGCTCACAACCTCACAAGGCCAAATAGCACAGCATCAACTTCCTAACTGGAATCTCATTTTTCTTGGGTGTTAGATCCCAGAATCAGATTGGGGGGGGGGGGGGGGGGGGAATCCCTCTTACCTAACAGAAGAGAACTGCCCAGAAACTGAAACGTGGATTTCTGTGTAGTCTATGCAGTCGCAGAACTCCGAAGTGTCCTGCGCTCACAGGAAGAGCGGATGGCGTTTCCCACTCTGCGCTCACCGTGGGCTGTGCACCAGGGACAGTTCTCTTCCTCACCCATCCTTGTAGGGCGAGGACCTGCCGTTTACTGTGGTTCCCCTAGACACACACTTAATTTGACTCCAGAGGTTGGTGCTGACCAGGTACTCAGACACCTCGAAGCCCCCCTCATCTGTACCCTAGGCGTGGTAGGAGCTGTGAGACATGTGGCTCCGGCTAGGGCTACTCTTAAAACACCTTGAGAAAGGTGGGAATGAGGTAGCAGGGAGCACCAGCGAGGACTCCCGGCCTCCACAGGGTCGCACCCAGACTTCTCAGATGTTCAAGCTCTTGCCGGCTCTCATTTCTTTCACATTTTGCCTGTTCCATCGAAACCTCCATTTCCTGACCTCTTCAAGTTCACCCTGCTTGTTTCTCACCTCACTCTTTGTGGACCAAACACCTGAACTGTGTTTTCATTAATAACCTCAAATTCGTTCTACAGCTGCCAATCGAGAAGCCCAGTTCTGATCAATCCACTGAACGAAATGTGTTCAGCTATACAGAATGGTTGTACAGCACCTTAAAGTCCTATTTTGCTTTTCAGGCAAGTTAACCCTGTCCTCCCACTGACCCTAATCCAGTTCTCACAACCTTCTACAACTGACAACTTGGAGGCCCTGATAACCCAGAAAAACAAGAGGCCGTCTCCCTGCAAGCCCACGTGCTTCTCTCCTGGACTGGAGGACAGCCATGGTCTAGCCAATGGAAGATTTAGGAAAATGCTGCCCTGATTCCTAGCCTAGAAATGAGCAGCAGGAATACACCTTTCAATAAGGGGGCGGAGGGGCTAAGTCTTTGGTAGAGTAAAACTTTGAATTCAAACACGAGGACCACCAAAGTCTATCATTGTGAATGAGAAGAGACAGACATTCATGGCTACTACAAACATGTAAAAACATGCACACAAAAACTACTTTCCAAACACCGGAAGATGCACCTCAACCTACTGTTTCTATTACATTTAGATCATGTAATCTGGAGTTGAGATAAAGGAGAACAGTTTTTATGTGTGAAAGTACTTCTGTATTAAAATACATAAAACATTTCCCTTGTGAGTTCATCAATAGAAATGCCAGCACAGAATACTCACAGAATCCAACAGGCTGTGCTGTTTGGCTTTACTTACCTAATATTGCACTGTTAAGAGCTGAGCACACAGGTTCTCTCTGAATTGGGTCAAGCTGGTTTCCAACTGGGCTGTTCCAGGGGTCGGAATACGCTAGTAAACTGAAGGCATCCTGGTGGAAATGTAACAATTTGTCTTTCAGTTCAAACAGTTCAGCTGCTGTGCTCACAGGGCTCCAAGTGGAGACGAGCAAGATCCCGCAGCTCTAAGGTAGAGGCCAGTGACGGGTGCTTTCTGTTCTGAACGGCAGGGTTACACAGCACAGCCTAACTGGTTTGCACTTTCCTTGTTAGCAGCCTTTCCCCTAACCAGCCTCCCCCCTTCAAACACTGATAGAAAGACGGTGTACTGGTGAAGGCAGACGGGCAGTCCGGACATTCAGACACTTCACCGTACAACTTCTTTCCACCCACAGAATCTGACATTAAAGGACAGGGTCTGGCTGTACCTTTTTAAAAAATAGATGGGGGAGCTGCACACATGTCATGAATGTCATCCTCTCAAGCTCAGTATGTAAGAAATAAAGCTGAACACTCAACACAGTATTGACAGATCTTCCATCCACTGGGTCACTCCCCAAATCCCCATAAAAGCCAGAGCTGGGCCAGGCTGAAGCCAGGAACCCAGAATTCCATCTGCGCCATGTGGGTGGCAGAGGCCCAAGTGCCGAGCCATCATCTGTCTCCAAGATGCATGAGCAGGAAGCTGGATCGGAAGCATAGCAGCCAGCATTCAGACTGGCACTCCAGTGTGGGGCAGAGGGCATGCCAGGCAGGGGCTCAGCCTGTGGGGCCAGCATGCCCACCCCTGACACTTCTCTTAAAAACCTTAAAGTAACTGGGCCAGCACCGTGGTTCAGTGAGTTAGGCAGCTGCTTGCAAAGCCAGCATCCCATGTCGCAGTGCCAGTTAATGCCTGGCTGTTATGCTCAGGCCTCCAGAGGAGGCACGGAGGATGGTGCCACGAGAGAACAAGATGGAGCTCCTCGTACCTGGCCCAGCTACTCCTGCTACCTTGGCCATCTGGGGAGAGATCATTCTCTCCACTGCCCCCTCTCTGACATTCTCCTGTTCCAATAAATGAATCAAAACAAAACAAAACAAACACCTTCAAAGTAACAAACCCCGACCCCATTGCTTTCCTACTGTGGGAGGCCCGTGCCAGGGTGGCTTCAGATCCAGCTCCCACCGCTAGGTAGGTGCGGCCCTTCGTGAGGAACAGTCTGCCAGTTTAGTCCTTTGCATGAGGGAGAATACAAAGCTGTCACACGTCAGTCACACGAGGACCAGACAGCATGAGCAATGATGGCTTATTCTAGTCCCAGCGAGTGAGACAGAGGCAGGGCCAGAGCGCCAGCCTGTCTGGAAGCTGTTCCAGATTTTCAGAGTTTGAGAATCTACCCAAGTGATGTCATTCAATAAACTATGTCTTATGCCAAACATCAGCACCTGAATCTGCAGTAGCGCCAGCACGTACCTGAAGAATGTAGGAGATGGTGTTCTCTGGGCATTGCAGTAAGCATTTGTAAAGTGTTACATTTTTGAAGTCACAGGTTTCTGGCTTTTTTTAATTTTTATTATTTTTTTGGACAGGCAGAGTTAGACAGTGAGAGAGAGAGACAGAGAGAAAGGTCTTCCTTCCATTGGTTCACCCCCAAATGGCCACTACGGCCGGCGCGCTGCGCCGATCCAAAGCCAGGAGCCAGGTCTTCCTCCTGGTCTCCCATGCAGGTGCAGGGCCCAAGCACTTGGGCCATCATCCACTGCCTTCCTGGGCCACAGCAGAGAGCTGGACTGGAAGAGGAGTAACTGGGACAGAACCGGCACCCTGACAGGAACTAGAACCCAGGGTGCCGGTGCCGCAGGCGGAGGATTAGCCAAGTGAGCCGCGGTGCCAGCCAGGTTTCTGGTTTCTACAGCATTTGCATGCCTGCTTTCTGAGCTGGGAAGGGTGTCTGTCGCATCTGTCTGTATTTTGTGTTGTTTATAAACATTTTTATGCCTATAAATATGAGCAATACAGGAGCTGGTGTTGTGGCATAGTGGGTAAAGCTGTTACCTGCAGTGCTGGCATCCCGTGTGGGCATAGGTTTGGGTCCTGGCTGTTGTCACTTCCAGCCCGGCTCCCTGCCAACGCCCTGGGAAAAGAGGCAGAGGGTGGCCTATGTTTCTGGGCCCCTCCCAGCCACGTGGGAGACCTGGATGAAGCTCCTGGCTTTGGATCTGCCCAGCCCAGGATGCTGCAGCTATGTGAGGAGTGAACCAGCGGAGGGAGGACTGAGCTCTCTTTCTCTCTCTGCCTCTATTCTGCCTTTTCAAATAAACAAATCTTTCAAAAAAGATAGTGTCACTGTGCATAAAATATATGTGCATGGGGGTGAAGGCACAAAATGAAAATGTCTGATACTGCTGCATTATGAGTTATTTGTTTAAAAAGAAAAATATTAAATAATTTGAAGGAAACATGCCATCTTTTAGGTAGATTCTCAAACTCTGCTCATGCTTGGCTTAAAACCTGGAACAGTTTCCAGGCAGGCTGGCGCTCTGGCCCTGCTGCCTCACTCGCTGGGCGAGCAGCTCCTGGCAGGCCGGGCCCACCTGCCTAAGCTCACTAACTCGCCGCTGAACAAGCCGAGTCAGGAAGGCAAGAGAAGTGGAGACAGCAGGAAAGGAAGGCTGGCGACACACTAGAAGGGCGAACACGAAGTCAGCACAGCTGGCTGCGACCTGCGGCAGCCCCCGGCCCTCTGCTCCCCAGGGCTGCTCTGCACCAAGGGGCGCAAAGGCAAGCCTAACTTCTGGTGAAACAACTCAGTGAATGCCGTCTTCTCCTTAACCACACCACCCCAGCTACAAAGTCCGTCCTGAAGGCCAAGATGGAACTGAAAACTCCTCCCAGAGCACAGTGCATTGTTCCCGTCCGCGTGGAGCCGGTGCAGACGCACAGAAGGGTGGCTCCTACCATGAGGTGTGGAACCTTCTACTTGACACAAACCTGCTACAGCAGACTTTTTAGAGCGCACCCCCGTGTCTATGAAAAACAACCACCTTGACTGTAACATTCTCTCGGCAGCAGCGCCCGGCACAGATGCACCTGTCTCTTGCGTGACTGCTGGGCAGGGCCCCAGGAGCAGCAGGATGCACGGCAGGGCCCAGGTTTGTAGCCGGCTGTCTCCCATCTGCCTGCACAAGCACATCTAGGACGTCTGCACAAGGATGAAACTGCCTAACAACACGTTTCTCAGAACATCCCTGTCATGGGAGTCATACATGAATGCATGAGTCAGAAGATTATGCAAATCCCAAAACATTCAAGATTAAAAAAAATCACATGACCTGCCCAGAAAAATAAATAATAATTTCTAATCTTCACCTACAGCAAAAACATCATCTCTGCTGCCCTCCGATCGCCCCCTTGTGCTGTGCGTCACTTTCTTTTCTTCTCCCTCTCTGCATCAGGCGTTGGAGAAGGCAGGCAGCTCAGAATATCAAGAAAGCCTCTGAGCATGGCTGCAGGTGCCTAGCTGTCAGAGATGCACACTCGAAGCCATCTGCATTCTTAAATTACAACATCATACGTTCACATACTTTGGTGTTTAATCAAGGAGTACCTTTGAGAACTGGCCCTGTAACATCATTTTCTGAGTTATATACGAATGAGAATCAAAGAATAAGCTGACAGAGTTAGATCTTCAATGTTCAAAGGTACTACTTAAGTCACAGATTTCTTCACCTTGCTCAGCATAAAATTTTAACAAGAAAACCAAAATCGATGGTTGAAACATTCATATTCCCCAATATCCTCTAAAACAATTCCTCAAAGTAGGGCCAGGGGCCCCTGGGTAGTGCAGGATCCTTCCTGGGGTCTGTGAGGTCAACACTATTTTTATAATACTACTAAGCTTTCCCTTCTTCCTCACTTTCATTCCCTCATAACTACACAGTGGGCTTTCCCAGAGGCTATGTGATCTCACAACTGAACGCAGAAGTAGGAACCAGAGTCCAGCTGATCGTCTATGGAGCCAAGCAGGGGCTGGTAGCATGGCCCAGCAGGTTAAGCCACCACTGGCATCCCAGATGGGTGCTGGTTCCAGTCATGGCTGCTCCACTTCCAATCCAGCTCCTTGGGAATGCGCCTGGCAAAGTAGCAGAGAGACTTGGACTCTTCCCACCCACAAGGGAACCCAGATGAAGTTCCAAGCTCCTGTTTTCAGCCTGGCCCAGCCTTGGCTGCTGTAGCCATTTGGGGAATGAACCACCAGTGGATGAAAGATCCGTCTCTCTCTCTCAATCTCTCCCTCTCCTAACTCTGCCTTTCAAACAAGTAAATCTTTTTAAAAAGATGTGCAAAAATATGAAACAATGCTGCTGCTCTTTTATTTTGGGGGAAGATCATTACATATTGGTGGTTTAATGGATTTAGTTTGGGATGAATTAAAGATTTTAGAATTTTAACTTTTTCTTAATTTTTGTTTATTCACTTATTTGAGTGGCAGACAGAACTCCGATCTGCTGGTTCACTCCTCAAATGCCCACAATGGCCAGGGTTGGGCCAGGCCAAAGCCCAGCCACGAACTCCATCCAGGTCTCCCACATGGGTACAAGGACTCAGCTCCTTCAGTACACCCGCTGCTGCCTCCCACAGTACACATCTGCAGGAAGCTGGGGCTGGGAGCACAGCCAGGATTCAAATTCTTTTTTTTTTTTTTTTTTTTTTTGACAGGCAGAGTGAACAGTGAGAGAGAGAGAGAGAAAGGTCTTCCTTTTCCGTTGGTTCATCTCCAATGAAGATCTGAAGCCAGGAGCCAGGTGCTCCGCCTGGTCTCCCATGCGGGTGCAGGGCCCAAGCACTTGGGCCATCCTCCACTGCCTTCCCAGGCCACAGCAGAGAGCTGGACAGGAAGAGGGGCAACCGGGACAGAATCCGGCGCTCCAACCTGGACTAGAACCCGGGGTGCCGGTGCCGCAGGCCAAATTCACTCTTCAACACGAGACACAGGTGTCTTAACCACTAGGGCAAATACCCATCACAAGTTTTAATTTCTAATGCGGTATCAATAAATGTAAACCATTTAACAAAAACTCTTTGGGAATCAATTTTTAGAGGTTTCAGACACCAAAATATTTGAGAATCACTGCCCTAAAGTATGCTCAGAACATAACAAAGAAGTACTGAGTTTCCCAAAGGGATCATTCTAGTCTCCTAAAATAATAAAGAACCCAAGTGTTAAGTTTTTTCTTCCTGATACTAGAGAAAAGTTCTACAGAGTTACACAGTGATCAAAATCTTTAATTTGGAAAAACTAGTAGTACTTTACAGATGAATTTGATAAGCGTATTCTATCTGATGCTGTACACTGGAGATACATACTTCAGAGAAAGATCTACACGGGGGAGGCTGCTAAGTACAGTCTAGGGCCAGCACTGTGGCACAGTAGGTTAAGCCACGGCCTGCAATGCCAGCGTCCCATACTGGAACCAGTTCTAGTCCCAGCTGCCTGCTAATGCTCCTGGGAGAGCAGTGGAAGAGGGCCCAAGTGCTTGAG